TCGCATCTTTCAGTTTCTCCAAATTGTTTGGGTTACTTGCATAAATCATTTACTTCTTCCTGCCGTAAGCCAATTACAAGGCGGTTCTGCATAACCCCACAAACAGTTTCGTTTTAGAAACGATTAAAAACGTTTGAAACCGGTATCTTCATGTCTTAGAGCCGAATTTAGGCTCCAAAAATCACAAATTAACGATCTGTAAGAAAATGATTTCCGGAATGTGCACACTTTTGCGGTTGATTTGCGATCTCCCATTTTGTAATCTCTAATTCGTGGTTTTCAGAGACGGATCTTTCCGTTGCACGGATGGCGCACTTGACTTTTATCGCCTTTAAATGGCAGTTTTGTTCAGGTCAATGTTTCTTAAGGGTATACAACATGTTAAACCCGTGTGACAAAAGGTTAAGTTAGCTTCTGACCCTTATTTCGTTTAACAATATTGCATACAGCGCCATTTCTCCCAAGTGGTTAGTTTTTGAACTCCCTCCCCGCGGAAAATGAATTCCCATGACCTCCTTTACACGATGACCAGTTTTATAACATTTGGTTCAGCAGTTTTTATTTTATGACCATTTTAAAGTGGAACTTTAATTATAATCACCCTGTATATTAACTAATTTTTATATTTTATATTTAATTTTATATAATTTTTATATAAAATATTTTAACTAAATTTCGTAATATATGTAGGCCCAAATAACACGATAAAAAGTTCTTTCCAATTCTTTTGCATGATTGTTATATTTCAAGACTTCATAATCAGAATTTAAGGTTTTCTTGCTTTGTTGAATATTTAAAAATAAATTTCTAAACCCGAAAGAACGCTTTTTTCATAAAAGGAACTTTATGAAAATAACTAAATATTGTAGGCAGGTAGTCCTAGTGTGTTTTGCAGTAATCAATTAAACCTAAACATAAACTAAATATCGTTTTAGATCGCCACAATTTTAGCTTCCAGTAGTGTAAATAATGCAGTAAAAATAATTTTTATTACCAGGTTTGTATTTCCACTGACCTATTCATACGACTACGGAGTTATAAGTCTTTTGTCAGAATTAAATGCAAGTAACATTGTAAAAGAATCATCAGCGCATCTATGTATCATACGGAAGATCTCGAGTGCGATTCCCGGAGAAAGCAAGGCTGAATTTTTAAGATTCTGGCACACAAAAACTTAATAGTTCTACAGAGACGTCTGAACTAAAATATGATGGTCAGTAACTCGTCACCACCTTGATTTAGTCTATTCTTAGTCACTCTTTTAGTGCAGATGTTGGGGATATGTAAGATATTAGACATTCCCCTTAATGCGTCCTTATCCGGTAGTTGTTAAGTACCAATTAACAAACGGAATGTCTCAGTTTAGATTCTCGACGACCACATGTTTAATTTTCAGGATTTCCACTTCACCCACACAAACCACGAATTCAAGAAAATGTCTCCTTTCTTAGCTTCGAAGAATGTTTTAAGTGGAATATCCACCTCATACATGCCTTCTAGGCCTATGAGGCCTATTTAGACAAGTATTGTCTGTGAGAGAGTTATGCAAGACAATCAAATATTCATTCATAAGGTGACCAGGTATGAAAGAATAGTTCCAGTGTTACTTATACATGTTGTAAGAAGTGACTAAAACGGATAATCCAGGATCCGGGGGTATTTAGCCTTAGATGTAGGTCTATTTTAGCACAAAAAATTTTAGCAAAATAACCGAAGTAATGTCATAATTCCACGTGAAATAATTAAAGGAATTTTCAGCAAAGAAAGATTAAGTGGAGGGTTAAAAGTTCCTAAATAATTTTTGAAATAGCCTAATTTTTATCATGTTCCCCATTTAATAGCAAGATTTGAGTCAACTGAAAATGTTTTCTCTGCAAAAATGTTATCAAATAATATGAAATTATAGATGTTTTGAAAGAAAAGGCAAAGTAAATATAAAAATTTCGTAGAAGGGGGTGCAATACAAGAAGAGCCATCCACTTTAATGCGAAAGAATTTATTTAAATTCAAAGTATCAAGGGCATACATTGATGAAACCCTTGGAACTATTTTCGTACTTTGGAAGACTTAGGAAGCCACTTAAGGATTAGGACATTGATGGGTAATACGAGTTTTCTAATTTAATGATTGAAATGATATAAAATGGGACAAAATCTATGGAAAGAAAATATCTGCTCTATGGACAATACTCATTTTAATAGTTCTACAAATCCGGTGACTTTACAGTGCTGAGAGTCTATATCTTAGTATTACATCGCCTCTGTACGAAGAAATAAACATCGTGTAATGTGCAATATCTTTTAAACAAGTAACTGAAGTAATATTCATAGAAGGTACTGTCAGTGGACCAAATTATCGAAAACTGCTTCAACCAAGATTTATATTAACCGAAACTTTTTGATACTATAGGATTTCCTGATATTGGTTTTCGAGGCCTAAAGTCTAGGTTAGTTGATTCTGACAAAGCAGAGTCCTTTGGAAAGGATACCGTAACGGAGCACATTTTAAGTGAAGCTGATTCGTACTCGTGAAAACTGCAGAAACCCCCCAAAACTTCGCCTAATACTTTCTCCGGGAACTAATCCCTAAACTACTAGTGAGGCTATCCCTCAACTCTCCGGGAACTAATCCCTCAACATCTTCGATTCTAAACGGGCAAACTAAATACATGCTGAATTTTAGTTTGCCCATTCAGAATCGGAGATGTGTTTTATTGCCTTAAAACAACATTTTCCATAAACAGATTCTGTTAGATGCAAACAAATTCAGCGTTAAGTGGAATACATGCATACAGCATCGAGCTTGTGACATCTGGTACTGTAATTAAAGAGAGAGTTCACAAGAATGCAGCAAAATTACGGAAAGAACTAAATTCATAAACTGCTCGAGACACTAATGTTATAAATTCTGATATACGGGCATCTGTTGTTTTATCTCATTAAATAATAATTTAAAACACTTGAAAGTTTTTCTTTGCTATAGTACGTTTATTCTATGATGATTCAGTTTATTTCTACATAGAGCGTTCTGAGTAAGTAAGCTTTTGCTTATAAATTTGATTGCATTGCACAAACAGGTAACAGGACATAGTAAATAGAGGATGGAGCAGAAGTCCCGCATGGTTGCAATGCCTCAGAAATTTTTTTATTTAATTTTTTCTTTTTCAGGACCGTGAAGTACATTTTGGAGATACACCATGAAGAGAGTGAGTTGTAAACAGTGCACGAAACCGACAAAACTTTATTTTACAAATCAAAGATCCACCATTCTCACTCAAAGAGCATACCGTCGGCACTTCAATATGCGCAAGTGTCCTCATCAGACTGCGATTCACCGTCTGGTAGCACGCTTTCGGCAACATTATTCAGTCTCTGATCGCTCAAGAATGTATAGACGACGTTGGGTTCGAACTCCCAAAAACATTCAATGAGTGAAGGACAGGATTAATAACAACCACGTTCTCGTAACAACCGCTTTCTCTACCCGTTCTTGGGCGATCGAAGGCTGAATAATGTTGCCGAAAGCGTGCTACCAGACGGAGAATCGTAGCCTGATGAGAACAACTGCGCACACTGAAGTGCTGGCAGTATGCTTTTTGAGTGAGGATGATGGATCATTGATTTTCAAAATAAAGTTCACCGTTTCGCCCGCTGTTTAAGACTGAATCTCTGCATGATGCATCTCCCAAATGTACATTCCAGTCCTGAAAAAAGAAAAAAAAATGAAATAAAGATTCTCTTTTTTTTTTTAAAAAAAATTACAAAATTGTCAGGCACTGCAACCTACGCACGACTTCTGCGTTACCCTGTATTTTATCAGCTCTCGGTACCTCTTAAAGGAAACTGAATTGCATTTAAGTTATGAATACGAAAAACGAAAAAATCACCTATGCATCCTACAGACAGTGACAGGGTTAGAACGTGAGGCAAAAAGTACCCGTTATTCATCGGTACTATGAAAATGCGAGAATTATAATGCATATTGTAAAACTGAGTACTCGAACATATAGAGACGAGAACAGTACGCTTGAGATTCGCAGGAAATAAATGCATTCGTTTTTCCAGGTGAAGCAAACGCTCAGAAAAGCCAACGGAAAATAGGTATTTCGGGAGGATCTTTCTCCATTATACTATGGAAAAATTTATTTCAAATAAAAGGAAATTAACATCATGAAGCCAAATAATCTGCATGACACTAAACTTGGGGCATCGTAACTCTATTAAAGACATAAGACATAAGAACATAAGAAACCTCTATCATAAGAAACCTCTATCAAAGAACATAGCGACTTACGTCCAGCAATTATCGCAGCTGCAAGCTTTCCATGCGATGCTATCTCAGGTGAATGGAAAGTCCCGAGTTCGAGTTCGAACAAGAGCCAGATTTATTAAAATTATTTCTCGCTTCGAATATCCCCACTTATTTTCGAATATCACTACATAACATAAATATACTACCTGAATACTATTTATTGAAGTAACTGCTATTTTTATTAAACGCAGTTAAAATTACACAATGACGCATTCAGTACATTATTCAGGGAATTGTGTCAGGCGTTGCTTAATAATGATAATCACCATTTAAACTGTTGGATATTAAGGTCATCAAATCTATGTATTTGTTCACATCCCCGTCATAAGATAAAGGTCTCACCTCACGTAAACTATGCTAAAATCTATTTTAAATACTTTAAGTGTAATTTTAAAAGCTTATTTTACATGACAAACATTTATACGAGCCTTTTCGTATCTTCATCCTTGTCGTTGCAGCTGCCTGACTACGGAAATAAGAATTCTACAATCATACTCAAAATAATGCATATTTTCATTTGAATTACAGAATGAAATTTCCGTTATGTGGCTATGTCTATATTACTTTATATTTATTTTTTCAGTAGATGATATGATTCATTCTACTAAATTCCATCTGCAACTGAAGTCTCATGTTCTCGTGAGGAGCTGCATAAGTCGAATAAGAAATAATTTTCATTTATTCCATACCTGCTATTAAGTATCTGGTAGAATGCAGCGAGACTCCGCAAGCAGCTTCATGGTTGCTTGTCCAAATCAGTCCTTGGCTCAGAGCTCGTCGGGCTTTCTCAGTCATCTGCAAACGAAAATATGACATTAATAAATGATATGATACCTGTAATTTGACACTTAATTCATTTCGCCTTCATAACAGAGTTCCGTCATAAAAGTACCGGCACCTTAATGCAAGTCATCTACTGTTCGAAAAGATAGAAACTTTTATAACGATGCCTCGACATTCAGTTGTCTGCACCCTTACTTAGATCAGTTTCTAACCAAAAACATTCCAAAGAGATGTCAGGGTCGCTATATAAACATAGTTTTCATTCACAGCTGCAGATTACATTCTTGCCTTCATAGCACTGCTCCAGCATAAAGATGCCCGCACTTTATGAAGGTTGTTCTTTAAAATACGAAATTTATCTTCATAAATCTGTGAGCATATTCACATCTGGGCACTCTTATAAAATTTTCCGTCTTTTTGAAAGATAGCTTGCATAAAGGTGGCGGCACTTTTATGATGGGTTTCACCACCATAAAAATGATGAAACCCATCACGAACGGTTCTCTTAATAATTTCCACATCAATCAGACAGTTACCCACATAGGATCAGTAAGTACATGGTGAATTAAAATGAATGACCCAAATTTGGATAAGCATAATTTTATATCAACAAAACCATGCGTTAATATTGTATACATCAAGTGAGAAAAGAAATCTGAGTGCGTTACAGAATGCCGTCGAAATGTCGATCTAAAAAAATAATAATCTTGCTGTGCAGCTGTAATTGCAGCAGACCCGATGACTTGGTTTTCTCAGTTACCCTCTTATGTCACAGATCTAACAGCAAGCGACTTTTTCCATTGAGGGTACTTTTCAGCTGTTGTACCGATTTTTGCTAAAACTGCCCACAATAAATGATCTTAGAACTTCCACTGCTATTTCCATGGAGAAGAAAACGAAGATTATGCTGCAGCAAATACGGCTGGAATTTAATTATCATTTTTTCGTTGCCCTTTAACGAAAGAATTCACGTATACTACATGCTGGTAATATTTGGACAGCTTCCCTTTCACTTCATGAAGTACTTGTCATAATGTGTGGTAAATTTAAAACATAAAATCATCTGAAATCGAGTCAGTCGTTCTGAATCACCTTTTTTAACAAAGAAGAGTCTTAAAACCCTCTATTCACTTAGAAATAAAAGAAAGGCATATTTGTAGTTAAAAGTTTCGTAGTCTTCAGAATGAACGCTCGCAGACTACATGTTAGATCTCTCTGTAGTAAAGAGAAAATGCCCGATCAAACAATGTTTACAAGTTAATGCGTTTCTGCATGTCGATTCGTGTGATGAGGCTGTAAAATTTTGTAACTAACCATCTTCTTCTTTTTTCTTCGTTGTAGAGCTAGATTTGATAACCACCGTAATTTTCCGCTTAAGAAGCGCTACGATCATTTTATCGATCAGGCACTCATCTATTTTACCAGAGAAAGATCTAATGCAGAGTTTCTTAAACTGTGGGTCGCTGGACCTGCGGCAGCGGGTCGCCAAAAATTCTAGCAGTTTTGATATTTCTTTAACTTATTTTAATAATTTTACAATTGCCAAATATTTTTACGCAATGTATCTGAAAGCAGATAAAGGTAAGAAAGACAATAGAGACAAAGAAAAAATGAAAACGTTTCGAAGCATTCGTTTTATAATACAAATGTTCATTTTACTTGCTTTGCACATGACGCTGTCATTTCATCTGTTACTTTAAAAATTTTCATATTGTTCTATGTCTTAAAATTAGAAATTAAAGTTAGTGACCTAAAACTGAAGTAGTATATTACAGTACGAGTGAAAAAATTGTCAGTTTCACTCGCGCGTGTGTCGGATTTGCGCAATGCTTATGGGCTCCCACAAAATTTTCATAAATATTATGAGTCTTGGGGTCGCGAAAAATGTCTCAGTGATAAAAAGGGGTCCTAACTGAAAAAAGTTTAAGAAGCCCTGAGCTAATGTGTACAGTCTGAGACCTTTCACTCAGAAATAAAAAAGATGCGTATGAATATTTTAAGACCCTTTAAAACGTTTAAAGTGACAAAAGTTTGTGTTATAAAGATTATATACAACAGGAATAATAAAAAATTAAATTAAAATATGTCACGCTTAACAAATTAGTTTTACACGAATAAATTTTGAAAATAAAATGTCGTGTAAGTCTACTGTTATGCTCTTAGTACAGAAAAAACGTTACAAGAAAAGAGAATTTTGAAGAAATCAACCTTGAAAAAATGTCTCAAAATCAAGAAATCAATTGAAAACTGTTTAAATTTATCTTAATTTCGTTCTTATACTTACTTTAAATTCCTTTTTCACTTTAATGTGATAAGCTGTTATAGCCCCGTCACCCTTTCCACGAGACTTCACCCTCAAGACAGCAACTGTTGGAAAATAAAAACGTGCAATCAGAAAAATTCAGATAAAAGTTTTAAAATAATGGAATATTTTTTAAAACATCCTGACATTTTTAACAGGATAAAAGTTCAGAAAAACTATTTCAAATTTCTATCTATTTAAGGCTTTGAATACAGTATCGGGACTTTAATTTGGAATTCTAAATAACCAAACAGATTTAAGATCGTCACATACCAGAATAGAAATAGTGAATAGGAAGTCTATCTATTATTCTTCAAAACAATATTCATATAGTTAATAAATGATTATAGTTAATAAATGATATTCATATAGTTAATAATGATTTCATACGTGTTAAGACCTCTTCATTTTATTTTCCTGGTTAGTATATAGTTAAACCTCCAACTATTACTTCTGATAATATATAATACATACTCGTATTCTTATACATCTCTCTCAATATATACATATAATATTGAATGAACTAAAATTCATTGAAATCGAAAAAAAAAATTTCTAATACTTGCGCAATAGCTGCAAAGTAAGATAATAATAACTTATTTACTAAACAATATTGATTATATTATCTCCTAATATAAATTTAGTAAAATGTATCAAAATGAGGGAACCCAGAAGTACGAAATTTAATTCCGAAAATTGTTTTTTATAAATAACTTTTTTTATAATTTATAAATTTATTAACTGATCCCTCCATGCAATTTGAATATGCCGACAAAAATCGCAAATTTTGAAATTAATATCTCGATTATTATTTACCGAATGGGAGTCAAACATTTTTTTTTTTTTTTTTTTTTTTTTGTTATAACGAGTATAAAACTTAACGAGTATAAACCTAAATATAAGTATAGGGACCGGAAAAAAGTATAAAAAATTAAATTTCGTAAATTTAACAAAACTAATATCTTTAAAATCTGCTAAAACGTGAATATTTGCGTCATTTAAAACATTTTTGTAAGTGGAAATATATGTCTATGACCAATGTCTGCGCAATTAAAAGCCTGGTAAGGACTTCTGCAGATACAGTACATACATTTTCAAATCTACATCTTTGAATCTCATCTTCTTGTTTTTTCTCCCCCTTCCCCAGTATAATACATGCAATACATACAAAAATGGAGTTATTTAAAAATATGAATATTTTCAATGCTTTTATAATCAAATCCGTAAGCAAATATATAATATTACGTATCCTATTATATTTTGAACATCAGACTTGAAGCAACCTGTTTTAAGCAGAAGTATTATATATTAAGTCTTATATTCTATTTTGAATGTTACACTAAAAGAAACCTGAGCACAGGAATCGATTTTCAGCTGTTAGACTACTGTTTAGACTAGAAGGATCTAATTTTAAGATGATTATTTTATTATATATCAAGTATTATATTCTATTTTGAATGTTACACTAAAAGAAACCTAAGCACAGGAATCGATGTTCAGCTGTTAGACTACTGTTTAAACTCGAAGGATCTAATTTTAAGATGATTACTTTATTAATCATCGACCAACAGTGACATAAAGTAACTACGGCTGATTTGAAAAAGAATGAAGACGACGGAAAAGAAAAAATCTGAGGTTAGCTGATGTTTCCGCTTAGTGATCCGCAAGTGCTATAAGTATGGTCCTCAACCAAAACAAAATCTATGTGAAAATTTGACTCATTCGTAGGCAGCTATGATTCGGAACAAAATCTGAAGAAATTTTAGGTATTTGTTGATATTTCTAGGAGACAGTAACTATAATAATGAGTTTATCTTTTAGTAAAAGTACTGTAGATGGCTGGATGACCTATCTGCATGTTAAGGTGCGACACGTCTTTTCTCTTTGTAAGTAATTTTCTCCTTCCTTGTGTGCTTATGTGTGTAACTGGAAGCACGTCTGGCTAGCAATCGAAAGGTTGGAAGTTTGAATCCCGGCGTGGGCATCGCTAATTTTATTTTCCTGTTTTACGCTTCGACAAACCTTACAGACTCTACTTCTCTCATTTTATCCCCTTTCCCAACGATTGTCAGGAATATATTAAGAACAACTAATTTACTATGGTGGAAAATGCCTTTCAGAATACCTTTCAAATTTCCCTTCTGTAATTTAGAGAATGTGAGGTATTTTTGATGATATCAAATAAGTTCTACTTTCTAATAATCCTTTCTTTTCTTTTTCCCCCCTGATTCATTTATTTACTGCATAAATTATTTCTACAAGGAAATACCCATTGCAGAGGTATTTTATCACGTATGAGGTATTTTATCAAAATTTTACTGAAATCATTTAATAAACTAGTGACTAAATATTTAAAAGACTGAATGAGGATGAATTTTCTAATATTTCTAATAATTTTTATAAATATTTCTCTGTAGTATTCCAAAAATTCATTTAGTAATGTTCTTGTTTGAAATAAATATTTAATCTAAAAAAAAAAAAAAAAAAAAAAAAAATACTACATTTCAGAATCTGGCAATTAAATATTTCGTGCATCTATACGATCTAATCTTCTTGGCCATCATACAATGCGACTAGATTTACTTGGATGTCAAACCTTTACGAATTCTCGCACAGGCGTGAAGATGAAAACAACAGGGAAAGGTGAAGAATATCCTTCATTTAATCATAAACTGAATAAAAGGAGGCACGGACTTACGTGCTTACGAAAAACACCGCCCACTTGCGGTGAGAACATAAACGTAATAAATTTAAATGTAGTGCTTGACTACACAATTCAATTTAATCCGTCTAACAGGCTGACGCAGACACCTACACGGGCGATATACTAACTAGGCGGCCAGCTTGCGTAGCCGCGACTAAGATCAACAGCTGGAGGACAAAGTAGCAAACGTGCGTTTCACTAGCGAAATCACGCTCTGTCTAACCTTTCGTTTCAATCGTTAAAATACTCTCATTCACCTACTTAATTTGGATCCTGGCGAGGAAATGTAAGGGGAAATAAGAGAATTCAGGAAAGGCTTACAAATTAAAATAACTGTTAGAACACTAAACAGGCCCCTAATCTATCTACCAAATGCCTAAATCTATCGAAAGTCTGTCTACGCGAAGAACTTAAAGCTTCCCATCAGTTAATATACCCGTAAGTAATATGATCAGTAAAACCCACGTATTTAACACTTTTCTAACAAGAAAAACTGCGTCTGTTGTATTTATTGGAAAAGGAAGCTGGAAAGAGAGTCTATTTCATAAGGTTTTTTGAAGTAGAGTCTCCTAGAGAGTTTAGTAATTCCAGTATTTGTACCCCTTGCTCGGATATTATACGAACTTTGTAGTAACACACCTGCCCTAAAATGATGAATGACGTGAATTAACAGATTATTCTTCAAAAAACAAGTGGGTCTAACAAATGGAAGCTGAAATTTGGAAAAATTATCCAGGCAGTCAATAATTTGCATTAATAACATCAAACGTTTTCTGCTAGTATACAACTTTCAATTTAGATCAGGCACTCTCAACCTGTGGTACGCGTACCACTGGTGGTACGCTAGAGAAGAATAGGTGGTACTCAAAGAATCAAAGTATTTTTAACTATTAAATTCAAAAATTAAAATCCCAACATACTGATTGAGGTTTTTCTCTAACACTCGTAAATTTATGCGATCTGAGCTTTGTTCAAGAGTGGTGGTGTTTAGTAGTACTTTGTAGTGGTGGTACTAAACGTTTTCAATTTTTGTTTAGATGGTACGCGTTAGTCAAAAAGTTGAGAACCGCTGATTTAGATGATTGACACTATTTCACGAATGCTTTGTCAGGAGCAATCCTTAAAAATTGCGCCTACTCTCGAATTATTCATCAGCTATATAAGTAGAAACTTCAGTAACTTTGATGACTGAGATAGAAACGTACCATATGAATGAAATAAAGTCAGCAGCTTCTAAAAAACGTGTCCATGATACGCGCACTTTGAGATTATATCACAGACATCTCCACATTTGTTCCTTCTTGCACATCGTAACTTAGCATGTTCAGGATGACGTAGAAGAAACTTAATGCATTATTTATCAAAGATTTTCCTTCAGGCAATAAAGTGCTTGATCACCTCCGATCGCTTCGGACACTCCTCCTCGTTATAGGCTCGAAATTCACAAGCTTATTTATACAAAGTAAAAAAGAAATAGGCTCCAAGCTTTGAGAAGGGAATGTGTTTTTGTGATGACGCTTAAACGGCATGATAAACAACGTCTAGAATTTTATCAGCTGAATTTATAAGCAAAGCGTTTATTGCTTGTAAATTATTTAAACATCAGTGATAAAATGATAAACGTCAACTAAAGAAATCATGGATCATCTCGATTTCACTAAAACACTTCTAGCATTTTTTTAATCCCTGTTGGGAATATTTTTATTCTGCAATCCGCAGAGTAAATTATCCGTATGTAAAATTATTATTTCAACTGTATTAATAAATAATAATTCAGTTTTCAAAAGAATTTAATATTTTTCTGAAAACAACTGACATCCAAATCACTTAAGTACGGTAGAATTAATAATACATAACACGGCTTCAAAAAGTTTGAAATATACGACGATTAATACTGGCCATCAATGAACAAAGTCACAACTAGTGTTCGCGGTTCACAGTGTTTTTAAACTGCACTGAATACTTGTTCATTCTTAACGAGACTCTTAAAATAATATTTTTTTTCCATTAACAGAACAGACACACAGCTCCCCAGCGTCAATTCGACTTCTAAGTTTTTTCAACAATGAGGAGTTGATTGGTCATTTGTTATCATATGATTCATCCCCACGTCCCACCTTTATGTAGTCTAAGCTACGAAAGCTTCATTAGTGTCCGATGGCGAGCACTGAAATATCTAAAGAACTCAAAAGCACATTTTTTCATGATGAAGAATGATCATAAAATAAGTATCCAAATAAGTTATCCATTATTTCATTATAAAATCCATTATTTTTTTTTCCTTTTCATAGCGATTTTTGCTCTTAAATTTTCATATCTAAAAGTAGGATAGATGTAAAAAACATTACTTGCAAATTTAAC